AGGATTTATTGTTCCCGTCCTTGTGCAATCCCTGCTGTCCCCTGCAGGTCCTRAATTCCTGTCAAAGCTCCAGCACCCGCCTGAAACTCGAGGAGAACACGGAGCTCATGGGTTTGCTGCAGACACACAAACCCCAGGCACTGGATGTTCTTCAAGAGGTAACTATGACCCCTTTACCCAGGTAACAGAGATTCTGGGGTTATTTTCCAGGATTAAGCAAATATTCTGTTCCAAAAAGAAATAAAATTACAGCTCTTATGTATACCAAGGTGTTTTTTTGACTCTGTCCCACACTTAATAAATGTAATGATAAAATAAAATTCCAGTTAGAAATACAGAGTTAAAGCCCCATTTCAAGTCACTGAGGTTTTTCCAACAGGAGAGAAAACACAGCAGAAAAAAAAATAAAAAATTCAGTCCGTTTTAACTGGGAATTCACTGCTCTGGTTTCTTTATCTGTTCAGAGCTGCAGCCTGATGGATGCTACGAGAGGAATCCCCGCTCTCCCAGCAGCTCAGAACTTCCCTGRACCTTGTCCCGTGGCACCTTCAGACCTGTTTGATGTCCTTCTCGAAGGTATTTCGTGGTGGGAGGTGGAGTTCAGGTCCTTGGGGGATTTTGTGGCTCAGCTGCAGTGATGGGGTGGCTCAGTCCGGGATCTCCCAGCTCTGTCACCCCATAGAATCACAGAGAATGGAAAAAAAACCCCAAATCATCAAGTCCAAACCTTCCCAGCTGATGGAAAAGATGCCCAGAGCCTGCCCAGAATTCCTTCTCCTTACAATTCTCCTTCCTCATCCCAGCCCAGGAAGAAAATGGGGAATAAATCAATTTTTTAGGGATTTTAGGAAGAACCCCCGGCCTGGAGCTTGGGCTGAGCTTTGCTGCTTTATTGCCTTACAGGAAAATGCTGAAAACTCCCATCACCTGCTCCTGCTGGAGAACAACCAGGGGACAGCAAAAATATACAGAATAGATTAAAAAAATATATTACAGCTCAAACTGACCGCTGGAAATCCCTCACCTGCACCCAAAAATTACAGAGCAAACCCAGGAATGGGGGAAATCCTCAGTGCAGGATTCCAGGATGCTGCAGGAATAATTAGATCTTAATTAAAATCTGCATTTCTCTGCTAAATCTGAGCTGGAGCTGCCCCACAATCTGAAGCTCTGATGATTTTTCATGCAGGTTTTTGGTTAAAAACAAGATTTTAACCATCCRGGCCTAGAGCTGAGGGTTTCAGTCTAAAATTATTCTTTACACTCAAAATTGGAGGGTTCAGACAGACTGAAAATCTCAGACATTTTAAACGTGAGCTCTGGGAATTCAGAGCCTGGTATTTAATATTTTCTGCAGTCTGGCTCTGAATTTGGCCAAGGCTGGAGTGGTCCCACTTTGAGGAATTCTSATGAAGTCCTTCCAAAATAAACCACGTGCTGAGCATGTTTTTCTCCACAAAAATCAAGGTTTTTATTAATGCAATCAGAGTTTGCACCGACAATGGATTGTAGGTGAAGTCTGGGATAAAATATTTTGAATCAGTTCTTTTCTAACAGATCAAACGGAGGATTTTACCTTTAGAAAATTGAACTATTTGACAATATTAATTAATTAATTTAGTTAATTTAAGGACCATTTTTTGCACACAGCAGGTTTGAGAGTTGGGAGGATAACAAGGAGCTGAAATTATCCTGTACTGCCAGAAAGCCAAATTATTCAGCAGAATTAATACAAACCAGATAATTTTTTTTTTTTAATTATTTCTTCCCAGACTTACTCTCATTTAATTTTAAATTCTGGTTGTGAGTTCACTGGTTTCTATGAAACTTCCCTGTTTGCTACATAGGGAGCAATTCTGGGTTCTGTAAACAGAACCTAAACCCAAAAAATTGACTGATCCAGCAGCCCCTCACGTTCTCCTGTTGAGCAAAATGGGAGATTTCCCACGTGAAGCCACTGCAGGATCCAGTGTTAAGTACTCAGCATGTTTGGGAATTTATTTTTTTTTTAAATGAACCCTTTGCATTTTCTTCTTGCAAAAAAAAAAAAAATAGTAAAAAAGGCAACTTTCGTGTTATGGGGTTTCCTTAAGTGTTAAGCTCCAAGAGCTACMAGGATTGCACAAGGGATGAACTCAGGGAGGAGTGGCAGTGTTTGAGTTCATTCCCGTGGGATTTGGGTCATATCCTATGATTCTTATGCCCTGAACAGTTCTCTGTTGTATTTTCTCTAGTCTGAGTAAGACAAGATACTTTGAAATATTTCGGTATTTCATTTAAAAAAGGTATAATTTGTTATTCCCATGATGAGTTCTGTAACTCATCCACCTCCTCCCACAACTCCTTCATGTTTTAATCACACRAAGTCTCTTCTTTTTCCCTTTTTATCCCAGGTTTTACAGATATTTTCCTCTCTGTCCCCCCATCACCACTCGTTCTTCTTTTTTGTTTGCATTTTAACTCAAATCTGCTCTTCCAGAACTTTTTATTCATTTGAAGACAATTAAAAAGGCTCTTTTGGGTTAACTCAGCTTCCATTTGTGGGATTTAAAGGTCAGCTCCAACTTCTCATTTTCATTCCAAACTGACCAAGAAATCCTACATCCCACACAGAGCCGAGGATGAAGCAGAATGGTGAACAATAAGAATTTGCGGGGGGAAAAAACCTGAATTTTCTCACAGGATAACTTAGAAAAACATAGCAAACTCTCATGTAAGAATAGAACATTAATCCTTTAGTCATGGGAAGCACTCAGGTGAAAGGACAGGAACATTAAACTATCCATAGGTATCATTTATTCAATATACTCAGAGATGAACTCGCTTCTCAAGTGTATTCTACATCAGTTATCYGTTAATTGCATTGTTAGTAGATTGCTTTACATTGTTTCACTGTTCCTGTCAATAAATTCATTATTTCATGCAATAATTTGGGTTTTTTCCTGTGTTTTTCTATTCATGCTAAACTCACAGCAGGAGGGGCATCGTGGAAAAAGGGAATTGAGCAGAGTTGAGAAGCTGAGGGTGTGAAAGTTTTGTTGTTTTTGTTTTTAATCCTCCAACATGCCCCGTTCCTGCCCCAAATGCCAAAGACAGAACCCAAATTCACAAGGGTCTCCACTCTGGGGGGATCCTGCAGTTTCCCAGCTCAGAATTATCTCTGTTTGCCATCTCTACGCACCATCACCAGCATGAGAAGTTTACACAAGTCAGGTTTTATCGAGCGTAACAACATCTCCAAACACAAACAGTGAAATGTGTGATAATCACACCCAGGAATCCCCACAGCGACCCCAGAACAAACACCCGGCTCAGAGCYGAAGGAATTCATCCAGCAGGAACCAACACAAAACCCGAGTGGCAGATTTTCAATACCAACTTGGGCTCGGGTTTGCTTTGTTTCAGGTGAAACCCCCCAGATCCTTCATTGATGATGAGTAACCCGTGTTTGAATCCTCCACAATTAATTCCAGAAAGGCGTTCGCAGCTCATTGGGTGCTGGAGACAGAGCAGCACACACCAAAAATATTTTCATCCTCACAAACCCTGAGACTTGAAGCATTTCAGAGTCCAGAAAGCACAGCCAGCTTAAAACCTCATTTTCCTCTCCTTCAGCAGCTCTTTCTCCTCCTTCCCAAAGGATAATAAAAGGCGATTTTTTTTCTCATCTCTGCTGTGGTTGTGCTGGAATCCCATTTGAGGAGAGGCTCTAGGAAATAGCAGCGAGCAGAAATGAATCAGCCAGCGAGCAGAAATGAATCAGCCAGCGAGCAGAAAYCAACCTGCAGCTCTCCAGGCTGGCGGGTTTGCCGTTGGTTGTGACTCTCAGCCAAGGCCCCCTTTCCGTTTCGCTGGAATCGTTACTCACCCGCACGGGCAACCCCAGCGCCGATGGTTGGGGCAGATAAGATTCCGCAGAACCCGGCAGTTCTTCGAGTTCACAGCCCAGCTGCTGTTTGCTGAGCTGAAGGATTCGCTGTGAGAATCCGTTCTGATGATATTTTTGCTCTGACTGAGGTCATTCCGGCAGTGCAGTTGATTTTCTTCGCTCACAGCGCGTTATTTATTTCTACTTGTCTGTTAAAACCCAAAAAACTCGGGTTCATTCTCCCATTTGTTAAACAAACTTTGGGATTTAACTCCCTGTGGATTTCCTCATCCCATCCCTGCAATCGGAGCTGCAGAGCCTGAATTCATAAATTAAAATTTATATTTTAATCCATTTATCCATAAAACATTCCCCTTGTAAAAATACAACTGCAAAACCCAAGTGAAAACAAACAGCTTCTGGTCACATTGTCTGCGGGATTTTATTCTGAGCTCTCTTTGGCCTCTCTCCTCATTTGTTTAAATTTAAATTGTGATTCAGCTGGCTTTTCAGGATTATTTCAGAAAAAAAAGGAGCCTGCAGGGTTGTTTTTTGGGGTTTTTTAACACAAAAATCCTATCCCGAGTGCCAAAAACCTATTTGATTCCCCCAAAAAAGAACATTACACCCATGATCCCCCAAAAAGGATAAACCAGAAGAGAGATAAACAGCAGGGAAAAGAGAGAAATGGAGCATAGAAAGCATGGAAAGAGGAAGGAAAATAAAAAGGGAATCTGCCACTCCCACAGCCCCAATTCCATGGTGGTGACAAATGACCCTGCAGAGGCACAGACTGTGCTGGCACCAGTTTGGGTTTTACGAGTTTGGGTTCAAGAGAAGCCGCAGATTTGAGGGCACAGAGCAATTCCAGCAAAGGGCACCCCGAGTCCCTTGGCTTTGTCCCAAAAATCAGAGCCCAACCCTTCCCTGGAAGCCCTAAAAACCATCTCAGCGTTTACAGAGCTGCTCTGAGTGGGATTGTAAACTCTGCTCCATCCAGCAGAGTCAAAAGCTGCTGTAAATAATACCTGGAGAGTAAAGCTTACGTGGAAAAATAAAATAATGGGTCGACAAAAGTAGGTTGGTCAAATATTTGCGTGTTCCACCTTTGTGGCTTTCTTTGTGCTGAGAARTTTCTACGAAATTTTACAGAGGAATAAGACTAAAAATTGGCCTGACTGACTTGCTAATTATGGGTCATATGAGTACCTGTTTATTCAGGTACTGTGTAATTAAAAAAAAGAATCTCTAACCCTGATGCCCAGGAAGAAAAAGAGCTAAAAATAGCTGAATAATAGCTTAAAAATAGTTGAAAAATAGCTGGAAATAGCTGAAAAATAGCTGAAAATAACTGAAAATTAGCTTAAAAATAGCTAAAAATAGCTGAAAATAATAGGAAACTGGTGTAGCAGAGACTGAAATCAGCAGTGATTGAGTTCAGTATTGGGAGAAACAATGGATCACCAAACCAAAATAATGGCAGGAGTTTAAAAAGTCCTATTAAAAGCACCAGGGTTGCTTTCCCAAATTCCAGAGCAGCAAGAGATTGGTTGTGCTTTGCTCTCTTCAGGAGCTGCTTGAGAAGATGTGAAATCTCCAATTTCTGTGCTCAATAACTCGATGGGTTTAGAGGTTATTCACCCAACAGGCTCGAAATCCACCACGTTATTGAGCACAGAAGTTTTCTTTAATTCCCTTTAAAAGTTGAGGAGGAAAACTGGGGTTTGTTGTGTTTATTCCTCATTTTCCTGCGGGTTTTTTAGTGGAAAGCGAAAGCAGCAGTGACTGAAGGAGCAGCGTGTCAGCCAGGGTGACTCAGGAGCTCATTCTTGGCCTGGAATCCTCATCAAACATTTTATGGGGTTGTTAAAATCCCGTCCCTGCCAGGAAAGTGCCAGCCTGGCACAAAGGAAAAGGGTTCTGTGGAAAAGGGAAGTCCTGAATCTGCTCATCACAGCCAGCCTGGCACGCAGATTTTATCACAAGGCATTTATTTATTTGTTTATTCAAGGTTGGGCACTGATTTGTGGAGGCAAACAGCAGATAAATGACCGTAAAATATTTCCTAGATGAAGGAATTTGCTGATTGCCCACAAAATCTGATCCCTCAGGGAATCTCTGGGGTCGCTTCCACATTGCATTCCCAAAGGCTGAACGCTGTCACACCCAGGGCTGGGAGTTTTGTCCGATCTGATCTTCACTGATTAAAAAATAATAAAATTATATTGTCTTATAATATCAAAACAAGAATAACAATTTTTTTAAAACCCAATAAAAATAACAATAAATATAACAATAATATATCAATAAAAATAATCATAACAATTAAAATAACGATTAAAATAACAATAAAAATAACAATTAAAATAACAATAGAAATAACAATAGAAATAACAATAGA